CTGTCATATTCCCTCCACACCTCTCAGAATAGACCTTCTGTGAGTAATGCATGGGAAAATACATGACAGCCATACCAACAGGAAAGAAAGGAATGCATATATTGTATTTTTCTTATAATAGCCTGAAAATTTACACTGTGCTGTGCAGATGCTACTTAGCATATCAGAACAAACTGTAATATATCCAAAACATTGTAATATTGTATTTGCTTTTGCCATCTAGATTTGAGCAGTTCTCCAAGAACACATTTATTTTAAATGAAGTCCACCTGTATCCAACTGGAATAGAAAAATGGATGGAAGTACAAATGTAATCTTATAACTCACCTTAAGCTCACTGGTTTCAGACAGCTTGGCTTTGAGATCCGTATTTGTTTCCCTTGCCAGATCAAGCTGCTTCTGTAGCCTCTCTATCATCTTATGTAACTTTCTGACAGTGAGATTGGCCTCATCCCTTTCCACAGCTAAGGCAGTCCTTACTTGCTTCTCTTCTTCCAGCTGGGTTATTTTCTGCCGCAGAAGGTTCATGTGCAGCTCTCTGCTTTCAAGTTTTTCTTTCTGAGCCTTCAACTTGATTTCCAAACATAAGGACATTTGAAAAAGTAAATGTGAAAGACCGTGGTATTACATAACCACAAATTTAATCCTTGTGTTGCTTCTATAACCTGAACTCCTTTTCCTCTCTTGAACACTTTGTGAAGAAGTATCAATATATATACCCTAACTTGATACTCCTTGTATTACCAACTGATTGTGCTTCTCTATTGTTTTAAACCTTAAACAGACCCAATTCCCAGCTCTATACCAGTCTGACAAGCCTAAACCCAAAAGATTTCCCTATGTCATAACAGGATGACAGAGGGTTGTTTGACCAAAATTGAACATATTTGTTCCTGCAGGAACAACTGAAGGAAGGAACAATTCCTTTTGGAAACATTTCAATTCTTGGTGAAGTACAACCAACACCCTACTAGTTTCTAGAAAAGTTTGTGTAATGCGCCTCCCTCCTTGGCAGATCCCTTTAGATTTAAAACATTAAATTCATTAATGGAAGTTGCTTACAGAACTATAAATGCGTATTAAAAAGTAGACAAATATTTAGATACAAACATCCGTAACTTTATAGTTTTTTTCTTAAGAAGTTGTGAAAAGCAGTATCATGTTCAACCAACTGGCTGGGTTTAGCTATTTCAAAATGCATTATTTTTGTGCAGTTTGCAAACACTATCTTCTTTTTACATCAAGGACATCTTTGAAATTCCTTACACACATACAGTCTGCTGCCTCCAGCAAGCCACTACAGAAAACACAGCCATACATTAACCTTTGAATGGTACATGTTTTTTGCATACCTTCCTTCGGAGGCTGTATGCCACAGTCTTGTTCTCAACTACCGCGTCACCTTCCAGTTTCACCAACTGCTCTACCCGGGCCAGAATCACATCCATAGTCATATCAAATCCAACCTCTGCTGATAGACTATCCAGCTTCATCTTCTCATTAAGTTGCTCCAGAAATTTAAGATACTGAGATTTGGAAAAGTGGGCAGAAGAATAATAAAGTTTCATTAAAAGCCATGAAGTACAATTTAAAAGCAATCCCCACTAAAATGGCAGCCAACAATTTGTAGCCAGGTATGCTACAAGAAATAATATATTGAGCACACTCCTGACACAACTGCAAATTCTCCAAATGTTGTTTTTTTATTCAACACTTAGTTTGTCCATAACCCCTAGATCTATGACATACGATGTAGTCTGAGGAGATGCAGGAATGTTAACATAGCCAGCCTTCAGCCCTTCTTAGGAACAGCAAGGGTAAGTTACTGGTTTAAACATTGCTTTATTTTATTTGCATCTCCATATGGTTTACTGATGTGAACACATACAGATATCAAATACAATTCAATCCAATTTTTCCTTCTTTTGTTCTGCCCTACCAGCTCTTTAAAAATTGATTTGTCTCTGGCTCTCAGTTAGCTTCTCTTGCAAAATCCAAAACCCTCCTTCTCACTAAGAACTGTTTCCATTTGCTTCCTCTTAGTTCTGGTGCAAACCATTATCTCTGCAAAGAACCAACAAAATAAATAAAAATAATAAAAAAAGCCAACAACAAACCAGTTTCACCATTTGTTCATTCGCAAGAATACCTCTTTGTTTCATGATATTTCTGATAGAAAAAAAATTAAAAACAGCAGCAGAAGAAGAAAGCACTGCAGTTATTCATTGACAGAAAAAAAAAATTGTTAAAAAGATCTCTTAATTGCAGCAAAATCTAGAGAATAATTTAAGAATCTAGGCCACATGTTACTAACAGAGGAA